CATTGTCGCGGCCCCCGCGTACAAAGCCTGGCGGCGGCCGCCGCTCGGGGCGGCTTTCCTTTCCCCCCTTTCCAGCTGCCGCCGGGAAAGGGCTCTGCCTGCCTCGGCTGTGAATGGAGGGGACGCGGGGAGGGGGGGGGCGGGCGGCTGGGGCACCCGCTTCCCCCGTAGTAAACACTGTTCTGAAACAGTGGCAGAAAAGATCAAAGTGAGCTCTCTATTTCTCTCCTCTCCAGTTCCCTTCCTGCCCCCCACACGGTCTTTTGTTTCAATCCAGGAGAAATCCGGTGAATCACCTAATTAAAACCAAGACATGAATTAAGCATCCATTTTTGTACTACAAATTGCCAGCTCTCCGCTTGTCCCTCCCTTGGTCTCCATTAAAAAAAACACCAGAGACGCTGTTAAAAGGGGGGGGTATTTTGCCTCTAGCGTCCAGCTCTGCTTTCTATTTCACTGACTCCTATCCCAGGACCTAAATTGCTTGGCTGTGTAATTACTAGAGTAAGCCTATTTAAGTTAAAAGCTCCCCCCCCCCCCCAACTCTAAATGAAACTTGATGAGGGCCCGTCCTTAGTTATCAAGGGAGTCACTTTCTGGTCAGTCCTCTTGATTCATCTTTTTAGATTTAATCAGCATTAAGGTATTGCTTGTCCTTAAGAGCTTTAGCTTAATGGGGTTACTGGATGGTTTTCTCAGTATAACGTTTCCCGTTTTGTATTTATATATATTTGCCTTCGACAAAGACGGGCTAAGGTGGTGGCATGGAGTCTTTTTCTTTCTTTTAAGAAATCCGAAGTGATTTAAAGCGTAGGGAAACGGTTTAAAGACTCGGAGCAGGAAATGCAGATTCATTTAGGCTGTAGCTGGAAACTGTAACAAAAGGCAATTCCTTGAACAAATGCATCAGAAATCAATTTACATAAAGGTATATGATGCGTTCGGATAAATGCAATGCTAATGGCTTTTAGAGTGGTTTTCTTTCCAAAGTCTCGGGGTTTTTGTTACAGCTTAATTGGTGCAGTTCTTCTGGTTTATTGTGCGGTCACTGGACATACCTCCAGGTACTCTTTCTGAGGAAATGTGTGTTTAAAATCGGCCTCAGTTCTCTTCCTCCTGCAGCCGAGTTGGGCCAGTGGCAGGAAAAGTTCGTCCTCGCTGCTCTGGAGGTATCAGTCTGAAGGTCCTTAGCAGATAGCCAGATGCCTCGGCATGAGCACATACGGCTTACAAAGGACAAAGACAAAACATGCTGCTTAATTGGCAGTAAATAACTTGATCTTTTTATAGTATAAGTGACTAGAGGAACACCGGGAGTTTGTTGGACTCTGGATTGAAGGCAACAAATTAATCGGTTTAGAGTAAGCTTTATGAATTGATTCCTATATTATCTCTCGGTTGTCCTGCTTGCATAAAGCATTTATTAGAAAGTGAAAAATGCCGTTAGTAGCAGTTTTGGGGGCGGCCAGAGTAACTCCAGCCGGAGCGGTGCACTTCATCGTTCTTCTGCTTTCCTATGGTCGGTAAACTTTTTTTTTTTGAGTAACAAAGCTTTAGCATTTAAACTGCTGATCAAGGGCAGATTAGTGAGACAAAAGTTGAGTATGTTTGTGTAGGAAGTTAACAGGCGTCCTAAAGTTCAATGATCTATTATTCGGGCCAGTGTCCTCAGTCTGGAGTGTTTTCTTTGGGTGGTTTCATGTCTCCAAAATAAAACGCAGGAAAAATAAAATCCCGAGGTCTGGACGGCCGGTTCCGAGCCCCTCGTTACCGCCCCGAGCCTGCAGAGCCTCTCCTAGACTGAAAAACCAGTTTCACAACTTCCCCA